GGGACAGCATACTGATCTACATGAGACTCATGTTTATCAAAACATCTGTGCCTCAAGAGAACCCAGAGGAGTGGCCTGTCTACAGGGGACCAAGGCACAACCCAGGAATCTATGCTCTGCTTAGCAGGAAGGGATCAAAAAGCAGAAAGGATGTCTTCAAAAGCAACAACTAAAATGACTAACTAGAAAACACAATGCATGTCTCCCCACCTTTTACTAAACATTTAGACACTGAAAGTGAACCGTGCACAATGTGAAGCCTGCCACAGATACCTTCCCCTCATTAGCTGGTGTGTGGGAGGCTCTGTGGGGAAGACCCTTTCCAGCTCAGGTTAGCATTCAAGTCTACCTGAAGGCTCACTTGAAACAAATGGCCTGAAGAAGCTGAGTGAATGAGAGACACAAACAGGATGAGGAATGGCATCCTGTCCTATGTGAAAGGGTCCATGAGGAATGCCATACTTCCTTTGGGGCAGAAACTGGGGACCAGGAGCTTGGTCATTATGTCCATGGCTGTTTGTAGCACTAGGTCACAGGTGACTGGAATGGGCCTGAGAGCTGTTTGCAGTTCTGCTGCTAGGTTTATGTTTTTTTAATGTATTTCCTGTTCACCTACAGAGCAGAGGGACCTATGTAGCCTGAAGAATCCAAGGGTAGCAGTGTTGGTGTCTTCCTCTCCTCCCACACAAGCTGCGGGCTTGGAGTTCCAGTTCTAGGAATGGACATGGCCCTTGGCATGTGCTCTCCAGCCCTTCTCACCAGGCTAGAGCATTACACCGCCACTGTCCTCCAGCTCTTTGGTGATTGCCAGAAGCCTGGCCCCAAAGATTCCCTCCCTGTTCCATGCTTGTTAATGCCTGGCTATCCCTCCTGTAACTTAGTCATGTTTTACTGAGTGAGGAGCTAAGGGGGGTGGCAACAACTTGGACTCTGTCACTTCCCACAGCTGGCAGGGAGATAGCAAAGCTACCATAATGTTACTCCAGCCAGAAATCCAAGTACTGAGAGAGTCAAGACACCTGGGCTACAGTACCACTCTCCAGTGCTTCCACACGTGGGCTGGTAGCCTTATCTGAGGTCGTCTCTACAAACAGTGACATCCCGAGTTCCTGGGGTTCTGGGTTACCTGGTTGGGTGAAGACAGAGTTGCTAAGGGACCAAGGAGACCCACTCCTCTCCTAGCTGGAATGTCATCCCTGTTTTTCTACACACTGGGACAGTTGCTTATCTGGATAGTAGAAGACATAACATTAGGCAATGTTGAACTGACTTCAAGCTCACACAGAAATCTATGAGCTGGCTCCTATTTAAGAGAAAGAGGGTGCTGAGGAGCACTAGGTAGGTGTGGAGAACAACTCTGAGGGACTTAGCCTGACCTCCTCAGTGCTCAGGCCTCTGAGAGGCTTCAGATGGCTAAGAGGGGGCTGAGGTATGCATACCTCCAATTTTATTGTGACATTTAGACGTTGCCAAAAACTGTGATCACAGAGGCTGGATGTAGGGCTGTGATTTGGAAAAAACCCAACATACTCACTCACACTGAATGCCATGTCCAAGAGGACACATGTTCCAGGTCCACCTAACTCCTATGATTGCTGAGATAATAAAACTAAATTCTGATGCTGGCAGATTTCACATCCTGCATCCCACCTCCCACGATGCTTTGCAAACATTGGCTGATCACAGTAGCCCAATCCTTTTGACATGGTGTAAAGTACTGATTTCTCTGAAGTTATCATCCTAAATGTCATATACTTATTGTCAGTGAGCATAATATCTCATTTATTTACATTTTTCTTTTCATCTCTGAGTGTCTTGCTAAGTAGCCCAGGCTTGCCTGGAATTCCTGATCTGTCTGCACCAGTTTCCCAAAGTGCTGAGAATACAGGCATGTAGCAACACACCTGGTGAGCATACTATTTTATTTTCTTTCTTTCACAAATGTGGATTAACCTTGTAACCTAACCCATCACAAGACCAAGTAGTGTTTTCTTTTGTGTATTTGCTTGCTTGAGGAAAGGCCGTCTGTATTAATTATTTTTATGTTGCTTTGAAAAAAAAGACCACAACCAAGGCAACTTAAAAAGAAAGATTATATTTGGGCCTATAATTTAAGAAGGAGCGTCCATAATGGCAGAGAGACATGGAAGCAACTGGCAGGGCAGACACCAGTAGCAGGAAGCAAAGAGAGCAACAGAAGTGAAATGAGGCTATGAACTCTCAAAGCTGTCCCTGTGACTTACTTCCTCCAGCAAGGCTCCATCCCTTAAAGGTTCCATAACCTCCCACAAAAGTGCCACCAACTGGGGACCAAGTTTTAAAATACTTGAGCCTATGGGGAACATTTCTCATTCAAACCACAACAGTCTCTTTTGAAGCCCTGGCCTGGAACTCCCAATAAACCAGGCTAACTTCAAGGTTGTGACAATCCTCTGCTTCACAAGAAATGGGATCACAGGCGTGGGCCACCAACTGATTAACCCTGTAGTTTACCGAGGGGGTCTTATTGTAACCACTGAAACATTGACATTCTATGGAATACTGTATATGTTTTTTTAAAAGATGTTTCAGGTAGATCCATTCCAGAAATGTAAGTGGATGCACACTAGTTAATAGTTTTTGGATAACAAATTACTATTCAACAGCCTCAGAGGGAAAGCCCATCCACCTCATTGTGCACTGAAATACTTCTCTCAGGACTAGAAGAGGAGGCCTGGGTGGATCCCGCGTGAAAGAGCAGTGCTTGGTCCTTGCTTTGGGAGATTCACTGGACGCATGGATGACTTCATCACCTTCCACCCTCACACATAGTAAGGGCTCCACACCTCATCTCTCCTTACAAGGCAGAATTCTATTCACCTGATTCCTAGCTTTGCCGTGGTTCCTTAAAGGTCATTTGCAATATAAGGACTAAGACAATTTGTTTCCTAGGGAAACACAGCTCTGGTGAGATGCCAAGATGAACAGACATAGTGCTCTTTCCACGCTGCAGTACTCCCGCAGCGACGGGTTACAGGAGGCCCTGTTTGGCCATTTGTTGCTAGGCCTTGTTACCCACATCTGTTTCCTCTTCATTACATGGCCACATTATCAAAAATCCAACAGAAAACTTGGGCCTTCAAAGAACACAAGTATTTTGAGACTCAGAGTTTAAAATATTTTTAATGTTTATGATCCTATTTTAAAAATATCTTCCAGCTGGATGATGATGACGCATGTCTTTAATGCCAGTACTCAGAAGGCAGAGGCAGGTGGATCTCTGTGAGTTCGAGGCCAGCCTGGTCTACAGAGAAAGTTCCAGAGTAATCAAGGCTACAAAGAGAAACCCTGTCTCAAAAACCATATAGATATATAGATATAAATAGATAGAGATATAGATACATATGATGAACAATAATCAGTCATTTTAAAATTTATTTTGTTTTATATTCATGTATTTATTTTGTGCATTATTTAGGGAAGTATGGTTGTGGCTATGCCACAATCCATGAATGGAGATCAGAGGGCAACTTGCAGGAATCTGTTCCTTCTTTCCACTATGTGAGTCATTTAGAATGGACTAGGGTCATCAGGCTTGGTGGCAATCACTTTTACCCACTAATCCACTGTTGCCCAAATCAAAATTATATAATAATTTAATAGTAGGTCCACAAGGTAGCTCAGTAGGTAAATGTACTTGCCACCAAGCCTGATGACTGGAGTTTGATCCCCAGGTCTCACATGATAGAAGGAGAGAATCAATTCCTGGAGCATACCATCTGATCTCCACACACAAAGAGACACACAGACACACATATCATGGCCTTTGTATATGTGCAAACTAAAAGGAAATGAAGTTTAGTAAACTTTTAATAGTTGAATAGATAGGAGTAATCTTGAGTTAGTAGGTCTTCAAGTATGATCAAGATTGTCCTTTCAAAACACAGAACATTTTTGTAACTACATGCTTGTTTCATTTTTACAGAGCTAGGGATGGAACCCAGGGCCTTGAACATGCTGGGCACTTTAGTGCTCTACAATGGAGGGATGCCCCCATCCCTAAGCAACTGTTTTAATTGGAGTCAAGTAAGTGCTCATTAGATAGATGTCTGACTGAATGGCATGCCAGTAAACTCTACAAGGGTGAGGACTCAGCGAGCTGCTGCCCACATTGTCTAAGTCTTCATAAGTCTAAGACTTCATAAGATTCACTCCTACTCACAGAGCTACCGCTTCACAACCCCAACAACACATAAAAAGAGTCACTCTCCAGTCCTATCTGGCAACTTGCAAAGTAGTCAAGGCTGAATGGGTTCTCAGTGAGATTTTTGAAGGAAATGTCTTCTTGCAACAACATGTAGAATAAATTTTGGTGCCTTCCCCTTTTTGCTGATTGTCTATCTACTGGAAAAACTGACAACCGTGACTATATTTCACCTCTAACCTGTTGTTCATGCAGGGCTTCCCAAGACCTGAGTTCTACGTGTCTAATCCTCATTAAAGGAACCAAGCCTGCAAGCCAGGACAGCCACTGAGGAACCACAGCATAAGGTCATTTCATCCTTTATCCTTTTGTATCTAACTCTTGACTCTGAATAAACAAGTTCAGAATGCCTATGTGCCTAAAAGCCTTTATTGCTATAGTAGAAGGAAATACCTGATCCTTCCTAAGGATGACATCATGGGATCTACAGTCCTTTAAGCTGGCCACAGGAAGACAAAAATCTCAGACCTTTATTACTGTGGATAGCAAGGTCAAGAGGGAAGTGCCTGTAGGCCCCAGACCACTCCCTCTTGGAGCACTCTAGACCACAGACTTCCCCACTCACTTCCCTGCCCTCATGAGAAAACTCTTTCCAGGGGGATATCTGTGGAGAAATGTGCAAGCATCATCTAGAAAGGACATGGTGTCACAGTTACAGAAGCTATCGCACTAGACAGCCACTCTGCCATGCAGATTGTCCAGGTACCTAGCCAGTCACTACTGGTAGAGCTAGTGCAAATGTGATGTGAGACAGAACTCAGAATAAAATACCATCCTTGGAAGCATATTCCACTGGCTTCTTCTGCTCCTGCTTCTGCTGGTATCGGGCCTTCTGATAGAAAATGATGATGACCACGGTGACAATATTCAGAAAGATGACAAGTAGAACGAGCCAAAATGAGTATCCGTAAGTGTGGGTTGCTCTCTCGTTGGTGACCTCTGGATAAAACTTCTGGGACAGTACTTCTGAGAGATGGTTGGACTCCGTATTCCCCACGAACAGTACCATGGTCAGGAACACAAAGGATGCTGTAAAGAAGATTGAGCTTCATAAATGGCACAAGGAGGCATTCTTAACATTATTGTTGTCTGTACATGTGTGCATGCAGGTATATGACTTTTGTGGTATGTGTCTGAATGTGCACACATGTATATGTGCATATGTGTAGGCCAAAGAACAACACCAGGTGTTTTTTTTCTACCACTCTCCATATTATTTATCTATTTATTTTTGCAGAGAGGGCAGAGTCTCTCACAGTATCTAGAACTCCCTATCTTAGCAGTGATCACTTTATTCACTGGGCCATCTACCTGTCCTTGTGATGCATGTTTTTTGTTTTTTGTTTTTGTTTGTTTGTTTGTTTGTTTGTTTGTTCCCGAGACAGGGTTTCACTGTGTAGCTTTGGAGCCTATCCTGGCACTTGCTCTGGAGACCAGGCTGGCCTCGAACTCACAGAGATCTGCCTGCCTCTGCCTCCCGAGTGCTGGGATTCAAGGCGTGCGCCACCAACGCCCAGCTTGTGATGCATGTTTCAAAGTTATTTTAACTATTTTTAAGTATATGAGCATGTGTCTGTGTAAGCGCATGCCCACATATGTGGAGGTAGCCACCCACAGGGACCAGAATAGGGCATCAGATCCCTTGGAGCAGGTGTTAGAGGTGTTTGTGAATCAGGTGTGGGGGTGCGCGAGCGCGCGCGCGCGCACGCACACACACACACACACACACACACACAAAGTTTGTTTAGAGCCACAGTGCTCTCACTTTGCTAACATATCACTTATTTTCTTTGTGGGATACATAATCCATAGGTATTTATTGACTAGCTACATGGGATTCTATAGTGTTTCAGGAAGAAGGAGAATGTAAAAACAAGATGTAAGAAATAAACTAGATTCTAGGCATGAAATTCTAAGTATCATTCAGGGCAGTATCCAACCTGCAGGCTCAGATCCCATCAGAAGCTGTGGCTGGGTGACTGGCCTACACACACCCTAGTTCCATGCTTGTAGTGGGTGTGAGTGGGATTGGGATGGAGAGAGGATATGGGGAGGTGTGAATGGACAAAGAAGACTTGGGAAAACACTAGCATCGCAGGTGGTAGAAAGCCACCTCCACAATAGCAGGGGTGGGCATTGGGTCACCCCAAACTGTGAGGAGTGAGGCCCATCAGGAGAAAGAGAACCACAGGCTCTCAAGTGCTGGATGCACACTACAAAGTGCTAGATAGCTGCTCCAGACATTCCACTCACCACGACTCAGCCGAGTGTGGCCTTGAACCAGGAAGTATCTAGAGCAGAGCAGACTTGCAGGTGCTTAGGTGGGTGAGAGGCAGGTAGTCACCAGGAGACATGAGGTCTCTGGTGAAAATATTTGGAATATGATGATAATGATGTCGGCAGTAGCTAAGAACATGTCCAAACCCAGGGAACAGTATGCTTTAAGCCAGTAATATAAGTGGCAGGTGATTCATATACCAGGAACTCTGGAATGAGAAACTTTGGGAGGAAGATGAGGATGAGGATGGATGCTCATGCCCAGGTGGGGTCTGACACATCAGGGGAATGCCCAGGATAAAGTCTTTCTGGAATCCTTGATCTGCTGATCAACACAAAATGTGCAGCTCAGTAAAGTCTTGGGCATCCGTTGTGTCCCAATCCAAAAGCTCCTTAAGGGAAGTTAATTAGGAGGGTTTGCATGAGGAGAATGTTTGAACAGCCCTTGATGACACACCTCACCCACAAAATAATGCCTTTATTTCTTAATTATTTGCATGAACAAAAGTCCTGTTCCTCTGATGCTCACTGGGCGCCTCTTACACCTTCATTATCCTTCATTTTCCTCTTGTGAAGTTTCTAATAAAAGCTTAATTAATCATAAAGGGGTGGAATGAACACAAGGTTAATTCCTTTACCCTAAAGTCGATTGTCTGGAGCTTTGATTTGCACAGGGAAGAGCTAGCATGCAGACACCTTGCCTATCTGGGCCCCTTAGAGGCAGATGGCTGGAGCCATCAGCTCCAGCCTGCTTCTAGTTAATTGCTTACCCTTCCTTCCTTCCTTCTTTCCTTCCTTCCTTCCTTCTTTCCTTCTTCCCTCCCTCCTTCCCTCCCTCCCTTTTTCTGTCCCTCCCTTCTTTTCTTCCTGAAATACTGGAGATTAAATCTGGAACCTTGAAAGTAGAAAGCAAGTGCTCTACCACTGAACCACACCCCAACCCTCTTTCATAATTTATTTATTATAAACTCTTTCTATAGGCAGGCAGGTCTTGAACTTGGGGGTTTTCCCATCTCAGCCTCCTAAGTAACTGGAAATATAGGCCTGCATCTTGGCCTGGATGACTGCACAGCTTCTCCAGAGCTGTAGCCTGAAGGGCCGCTGGAGGCTGGGGGCAAGCAGCAGTGAGCTGTTTTTAAAGGCTTGGGGACATGAGGCTTCTGATGGGGCTCATCCCCATTGTGCTATGACCTCATTGCTTTCTGTGTTCTCCAGTTGAGGGACAGTATGTCTGGAGCACATAGCTTGTGGCAGTCTCTCTGGATCCAACCTTCTCTCCAACTACTTTAAAATCCCCTGTGACTAAGCCTGGCCACACTGGGGCCAGCATGGGATGAGGTCAGGGGGCACAAGCCTCAGGCAGTATTATTGCTGTTTCTTTCCATCAGAAACCAACCAGGTAATCCACTTCCTCATCTACCCACCCAGGAGAGCATGGGAAAGACAGCTCCACAGGGGATTGTAGCATTCTCATTGGCCCCAGGGCCTTGAAGTCAGTCTGACACCAGCCCTTCCTCACAATGTCCCAAGCGCCAGGAAGCTACATTGTCAATGACAAACAGAAGCTTCTCAGCAGGATTAGCCTCTTGCAAACCAGTTTTCACTAAACTCTGTAACCCTCCAGATAGGGGAAGAAAATCAAAGGCTCTCTGGACAGAATCAAAGGACAGAATCTGGCTTACTGAGCATCAGGACCAAAAGGGTTACCCCCAACTCCTATGCTTGCCTCTTCCAGACCCAAGTCAGAATGCATACCTGTCCCTTACACACCCCTTATGGGTGTTTTTTCTGCGACTTCACAGCCTCCTGCTTTGTGTCAGAATATACCCTTGAGGCAGAAAGACTATGACGGGAACTCTCTCCCCACCACATAGCTCTTTGTGGCTAGACATAGGCAGGCTGAGGGGACACTGTCCAGACTCCTTTTCCTGTTTTCCTCTGCAGACATGTGTTGGGCCTCTGACACATGTACGGTCAGCCTATCCTCCATTGCAGAGGAAAAAGATGAGGCTACAGCCTTGAGGAGCCAGATGGAAGCCCCACGGGCTGCAGACAATGCAGTACAGGCCCCACCTAGCCTCCTGACATCTTCCTTTCTCCTCCGGGGACCCCTCCTCCTCACCTAAGTGCCTCTGAGGTTGGAGAACAGCTGACCCTGGATCCAGCTCCAGTATAGACACTGTTCTTAGCAAACCTGATGGGTCAGTTTATCTTTCTTGGCTTTAGAGATGGCCAGGCCCTGTCAATGGGTGAGTCCATGAGAACTGGGAAATTACAGGTCTTTCCTCTAGAGCTGCTGCTGGCAGATTCCAGGATGTGTACAGATAATTGACCTTTAAGAGGGTTGAATCAACTGTGTAGCTACAGAAAACACACTGGGAAATCAATATATGCAGTGATGAAGAGAAACAGACTTCACGGGACATGATCTCCAAATCTAGCCATGTCTGAGGCCTCTGCTTTTCTTGTCTCTGAGTTGTATGAACAAAACTAAGAGTAATTTGTTGTTCATCCTGGCAGTGATTAAGATCCGATGGCTGATGGAAGGCCCTTGATGCTAGGGACCTCTATCTGGATTTGTAACCAAGTCCCTTAGCCTCTGGTTCTCAGTCTCACTAGGGAGATGGGGGGCTGCAGTGCATGGACAAAACCCATAGAGAGTCTTTTACTGAGTCACAGCAGTTTCCAATTTCTATCTGGACTCCATCCTCCACCCAGGTACCCACTCACAAAATAGCAAAATCACCTAGCAACCACCACACAGCATCTAAGCCCATAAGAAGAGTGTTGGCTCTGGATGGCATCCTCCCTTGCTCTGTGACTTAGCCTCCCAGGTATGGCATCTCTGATGCCCAAGTCCCCCCTTGCCCCTTGTGCAGGCAAGAAGGAGAGCAATATGTGTTCATGTGTCTTCATGAGCATGCATCAGTGTGCATATGTGTACACTTATGTGTGCATGTGTACACACACATACATGTGTATGCCCATGTGTACGCGTGCTCACGAATGTGCACATGAGTCATCTCAGGAAACTCACCACTGAGTCCGTTCCAGGTGTAGACGCCCGTAGGACCCAGGAACGTCTGGTAAGGGTTGCTGATGCTGTTGTAGAAGGTGAACACTGAGCTCAATAAGGAGGTTCCCAGACTCAGGACCAGGAATATTACAGCCACCAAATGCAAAGTCTTCTGGGAAGAATTGCCCAATGTCCCTAAAACTAAAACAACATTTGGTGAATGCACAGTGCAGAATACAAATCCTAAGTACAGCCAAGTTAGAGAAGGTGTGGCGTCAGAGAAGGAAGCAGTACACCGTTCATCCTGCAGGAACAAGACTGCATGGACTTGGGGATGGCTTAGCCAGTTCCGTGATGTAGTTCAATCCCTAGGACCCACCTAAAAAGGCCAGCAGTGGTGGTGAACACTTGCAGTCTCATTGTTGGGGTGACAGCTGAGACAGGTGGATCCTGGGGCTCACTGGACAACCAGTCTAGTTGAATTGGTGAGCTCCAGGTTCAACCAGAGACCCTGTCTCAGAAACCAAGATGGTATCACCTGAAGAATGACATCTGAAGGTGACCTTTTACCTCCACATGCACACATATGCATAGGCACGTGTACCTGCATATACACATTGAGAGCACCTGTGCTTACAGGAACATACACAAACACACAAGAATGAGATGGCAGTCATCATGGCAGGCCAATCAGTGACTTTACTTGACTGTATAACTACAGCACTGGATAAGATAAACTGGATGTTTATCTTAGTTTTCAAGTTCTAGCAGAGGGTGTCCTTCATACCTGCAGCTTCTTTACCAGTGATCTCTGCCCTCTGAGCCTTTCTAGTAGGATAGGTGGCAATTCCATCACCATAGCTTCCCTTTGGGTCTGAGAATTAGTTGCTTCTGACAGAAACCCTTATAGTGGCTCACTGTGCAAACCCCATGTGCAGTGAGGATCCCATAAACTCTGTGACTTGGGCGAATTCAGTGAGCCAGGAACAGGTGACAGAGAAAAAACCTGGAGAATAAGGGCTGGTGGAAATGACAGGGCTAGCTCATAGCTAGCAGTGGAGATGGAAAACCGTTTCTTGCTGGGCCAACTCAGGGTGCTTTCCCTGGGTCCAGACTCTCTCTCTCTGGCTGCAACACTGGAGGCAGCTGGGGGCACAACCCTCTGGTTTGCCCTCAGAACTTCCTTCTAAGCTCAAAGTACTTTACAAAATGGCATCTACATGTATCTTAGATGCAAAGACACTCCATAGTGGATCTACACTCCTGGAAAACACAATTCAGCTGCTCTGGGCTGAGTCATCAGATCCTCAGGGCTTCGGAGCTCTAGCAGTCATTTTCTGGTGCAGCACCCAACTCCCCCACCTCCTGTTCTACTCCCACACCAAAGGCCAGACATGACAAACGTGATCTTCCTAGATGTCCTGAGCATCTCTAATGGCTGTCAGTGTACGTGAGGATCCCACATGGAAGTGTTTAGAGATAGTCTGTGAAGTCCCAAAGAAAAGACAGCCAGAGAAAGAGATTGTGATGTTGACTAAAACAACACCAAAGAAATCATTGGGAACTGCAAGCCATAGTAGCCACAGAGGGATGAGTAAGAACTAGCCAAAGGCTCCTTCCTCTTCCTGTTTCTCTGGTTTCCAAGGATGTGGAGACATTCACATCCTTAGCTCAGCACAGCTTTAAGGAACAGGAAGTAGTCAGGCAGACCTGGATTCTTTGCTTCCAGGGCCGTGTGTGCTGGCTCCTGTGGGACAGGAGGAGTTCCAAAGCATCTACTGAACCATGTCCTACTGTGTGCCATCATCACCCTCTTTGCAAGGTGTCCCTCTCCATCCCTGTACTGAGAGAATTATTGAGAAGTTTTCTGTGTGTCAAGCCCTACTGTGTATGGCCTTGATTTCACCCCTGCTCTGGATGTTCACTGTGGAAATGTTCACCAGGCACCCATTCCCCTTTCTGACTATTCAAGGAAAATGAGAGTCCCCTGTGACTGAGAGACTTGTGTAAGAAGTGAGGGCCTGTCACACATTTCATTGACCTGCTTTCTTTTGAATATGTGAGCAGTGTTATTTCTTAGGTGCTATACAAATACTTGAAAGTTAATTAGCAGAGTAACTATATATAATAATACTGCCAGTCTCCTCCAGACAAAGAAAGACAGACAGAAAAAGAGAAAGAATGAAAGGAAGGTAGCCTGGAGAGATGGCTCAGTGGTTAAGAACACTGGTTGCTATTGCAAAGAACATGAGTCTACTGCCTGCTGCCTACAATTATTTGTAAACCCCAGTTCCAAAAGAGTCAACACCTTCTTCCAACTTCTGTAGGCACATAGCACACACATATGCATGCAGGCAAACCATAAAGTAAAATAAGTAATTCTTTTTTGAAAAAAGGATTGGTCTTTACTGAACTGTGTTTCTGAATGATCTAAGTGGACACAGGACCCCAGGATCTGACATTTACCTTGTGTAAGAATATGAGCTCAACGATGTTCATAGCAGCACTATTTGTAATAGCCAGAAACTGGAAGCAGCCTAGATGTGCCTCAAACGAAGAATGGATAGAGAAAATGTGGTACATTTACACAATGGAGTATTACTCAGCAGAAAAAAACAATGGAATCTTGAAATTTGCAGGAAAAATGGATGGAACTAGAAGAAACCATTCTGAGCAAGGTAACCCAATTACAAAAAGACAAACATGATATGTACTCACTCATATGTGGATTTTAGACATAGAGTAAAGGAATACCAGCCTACAATCCACACTGCCAGAAAAGCTAGTAAACAAGGAAGACCCTAAGAGAGACATACATGGTCCCCTGGAGAAGGGGAAAGGGTCAAGATCCCCTGAGCAAATTGAGAGCAGGGGAAGAGGGAGGGAGGGAGCTATGAGAATGAGAAGGGAAGAAGAGGAAGGATGCAGAGGTCATGAGGGAGCAGAAAGGTTGAGTCAGGGGAAGAATAGAAGAAAGGATATGTGATAGGTAGGGTTTTAGTTGGGGGGGAGGATGGGAGGGAGAAGGGAACTGGGATTGTCATGTAAAACAATCTTGTTTCTAATTCAAATAAATAAAAAAAATCTGAAAGAAAAAGAATATGTGCTCAACTCAGTTTGGTGAAATCATCTTAAGTTGTAAGTTCCCATATTTATATTTTCTAAATCTGCAATGTCCTCCTATTGGATAAAGTAGGCATGGAGAAAGTGGGACCAAAAAAAAAAAAAGTGGGTGGTAGCAAAGGTTCCCCATGAAGAAAGAGAAGGTGCCTGAGTTGTGTGTGACTGAGTCCAGAGCAGGCATCTCCTGGAAGGGAGTGGCCTGAGGGCATCAGCAGCAGACAGATACTCCTGCATAGCACAAGACACTGGTTTAAAGGGTAAAGGGATGTGCAGGAAAGAGGGGCAGGAGAGACAGGAACTTGGCTGTGGCGTGTGCTAAACATTGACATGCATCCCTTGTAACCCCAGGAGAACAGGGCCAGCTTGCCAGGGAGTGGACCATGACCTCCCACCCCCACTCTACAGCATTTCACTTCTTAAGGGCACAAGGGCAAAGCTCAGCTTCCAGAGACAGCATCTCCTTGTTGCTATGGTGACTGGACTCTTCAGTGACTTCTGTCAGTGACCCCTTTGGGGGAGTGATCCCTAGCCTACATTCTCTGCCTTGTAACCCAAATGAGGCTCTCAAAGACCACCAGGACTAAGGCTGCACTTGTCCCTGACTTAACCAAGTGGAGTATCTTGCCTGCTTCTCCACACTCTTATGTAAGGTTTTGGATGTTTTGCTCATACTAACTCAGTATGTGCTGCTTTTGAAACTGAAGGGAGGTGAGGTCAGAAGGAGAATAGGAAAAAGCAACAGACCTAGGGAGACACACCCAGCCAGAGGCCCAGGCTGGTCCCTGTGGATGTGTCAGGCATTCATCACTTCAAGGTGGATCCACTTCCCCTTCCCCAGCAGCCAGGCCAGGAGGAAACCCTCCATCTCAAGGGAAGTTGGCTGGGGACAAAGGAGCTTTCTCTTTGCTTGGGAGAGTTCTGTAGTCAAGGAAATAACTGGAATATTTAAGCCAAGAGTTGCATTGAGTGTAAGGAGCATGTCCTGTGTCCCAAACACCTGGAATTCTCTAGATTTCCCTGTGCCTCCCAGGCTGACTTACAGCTATAGGTGGATGTTCATTTGCAATTGGAATGTCCCCCCAAAGAAGTGACCAGGAAGGGCAGCAGACATGGCTCAGTAGATGAAATGCTTGCCCTGGAGGTATAAGGGCCTGAGTTCAGGCCAGAACTCAGAGCCCATGTTTTAAAAAGAAGCCAGGCACAGTGCGTGTAATCTCAGCCTTGGGGAGATGAGCTTGCTTGCCAGCCAGCCCAGCAGAATCAGTGAGCTCCAGGTTCCCTTAGAGACCTTGTCTCAAAGGTGAAGGTGATTGGAGAGACAGCTCAGCAGTTAAGAATGCTTACTGTTCTTGTAGAGAATCTAGCTTCCAATTCCTAGCACCTACACGAAGGCTCTCTTTACAGGGGAGCCAAAACCTTCTTCTGGTCTCTCTGAGTGCCTTCATCCAAACTTGAACCAGCGCAAATACATACACAAAAATTAAAAAGAAAGATGGAACATAATTGGGAAACATATATTGTTGACCCCTGGCTTCCATGTATATGTGCACACTCATGTCCAAACACTTGCACTTGACACACATGCACAAAAAGAAAAAGAAAACGACAATCAAATTTAGCTCTGCCTTGACTTTCAATAAGATTTAGCAGATATAATTTTCCAAAGAGAGTTAATTTGGGGCTGTTGACTCATACTTTCCTACGTACTTGGGGGGCAATTCATTTTAATTTTAACTGTTGCATTGTAAAACTTATTTCTGAATTCCCTGCCACCTAGATGTGACAGCTCTGTCTTTCCAGCTCCTGCCCCAGAACTCAGACAATGATAGCTGAAAGTTTGGTGAGAGTTAGCTAGAATGTAACAATGTAACAATAACCCTCCCAGCATCTGACAGCTGCTCCCTCCCCACAAAATTAGCAGATACATGCTGTTCTTTTTCTTTCTTTCAGGGGACAAGCTTCTGAATCAGGAGTCCCTTCACAATTGGAGCTAATTGCCCTGATTCTGATGGCCTCAGAAAGAGGCCAAGAACAGGCGGCCACAGAGATGACAGTAGACATCTCAGCCAGGCATCCAGAGACCCAGCTCCCCAAGCAGGGAGGATTCATTCATTCAGGTCCCACCTGCCATCTGCCCTCCACCTCCAGGTCTTGTTTGCTGTACGTTCATAGTCATTGAATGTGATGGTTGATACCCTCAACTTACAGCATCTACAGTTGTCAAGGAAGCAAACCTCTTTGCATGACTGTGAGGGACTTTTTAGATTGGGTTAAGTGAGGTAGGAGAATCCACATTAAAGGTGATCACCTTCCTTCACTCCCCCTACTCCCCCTCCCCCGCCCCCCGTGGATGGGATGTGACCAGTAGCCTCATGCTCCTACCACAGTGACTTTCCCACTATAATGGACTATGCTTTCAAACTGTGAATTAATCGTTTTTTTTTCATTCCTACAATCAAGTGCTTAATGAAAGCAATTGAAGGGAAGAAGGGCTTATTTTGGCTCTCAGTTTGAAAGTACAGTCCATCATGGTGGGAAAAACATGGCAGCAGGAGCATGAGACAACTGGACACATTGCATCTGTAGTCAGGAAGCAGAGAGAGGGATGAATGCAGATGATCAGCTCACCTTCTCCATTTTCTGCAGTGTGAAACCTCCGTCCACGAGATGATACCACCCACATTTAGGGTGGATCTTTTCACTTCAAATAATCCAATATAGAAAGTCCCTCTCAGACACACTCAGGGCTTGTCTCCTAGGTAACTCTGTTTCCCATCAGGTTGGTAATCAGTGTTGTCCACTACACCTGATGTTACATATTGACTAAAATGTCCCCCACAGGCACAGGTTTTCAAGGCTCAGACTCTAGCCTGTGGCACAGTTTTGAGGGCTGTGGAAACTTCTGGAGACAGACTGGCTACTAGAAGTAGATTACTAGGGTCAGGCCTTTGAAGATTGTCCACCTTAGTTCTGGCTTGTGCTTTCTGCTATCTGGTCCGCACTTGTGAGGAAACTACCTCTCATCCCCACCATCACAGTTGACCCTGCTCTGCCATGCCCTCCCCACCATGATGAGTTAGAATCCCTCTGAGACCAGGAACCAAAAAAAACCTTTCCTCCCTTAAGCTGTTTCTCTTGGGACATGAATCTGAAATTCTTCTCATTGGCATGGGAGGCCAAGTGCAGGGAGTCTTTGCAGCATCAGGGAGATTGTATCTCCAGGCCAGAGTCAGTGCCATGGTAATGTGGCTGCTGAAGTGTCAAGTGTCTACTAACCGAGATGCTCTTTGGAACAAGTTCAAAAAGACATAGTGCCATGGAAAGAGAAAGAGCACTCATTGAGATTCCAAAGTGATTCTTTAAAGATGCTTGGTCTGGTCAGGATGTAGACTGAGCAATCCTGGAGATCACTTTCTGAGGGACACCACATTCAAGTGAAACATTGCCCTATTCCTGCCACCCTGGGGAAATAGTACACATCATATCTATCCCTTAGGCCCTGATAGCATTCTCAGAATCAAGGAGTTGACTTCATTCTTGATACTGTTATAAAGCACTCAAGAGCCAATCTGGGGGTGGGGGTGCACACCCTCATGAGTGTGAACACAGGTCCTCCTAGGAGTCCACAGGGTTGTGTTCCCCACCCCACCTCCAACTGTTATAGAGACTCATATGAGGGCAGGGTGTTGCATTTCAGTGGAGGAGGAGCTTCCCCTTTCCCTAGATAGGTAGCATTTCACTACAGGAACTGTGCACAAACCCTGTCAGTACCTTAGTCTTAGACCTTTACTCACATAGCAGGTATTATTCTGAGCTGAAATGATACAGCTGGAACTTTAGGAGTATCAAAGACCTTCCACTCATGACTAGACGGAGCTAAATGGTCACTTTTCTAGATATTAGACAAACCAGGACCCATCTAGCCAGCCTGAGCTCATTGCCAGCCCAGCTGCACAACAGAAAGTTCCCGGACTGGGGCTGACTAGGCATCATCTCTGTTCATTGATCCATTGTTGGCTGGATGATGCTGACACTTTAAACCAAACATTATTGCTCATCCTGCTCTTTCACTTCAAACTCTGTAGTCCAAATAGACACAATGTGTTAGACCTCCGTGCTGAAGTGTAGCAGGGCCTGGTGAAATGCATCACTGCCTGAGGATTTCAGTGTATCCTGGCCTGAGCCACAAAGTTAAAACACTTGACTTTTCAAGACAAAGCATCCATCATCTATCAGTGCCAAACAGGAGAGTGTGTATTTAATTCTATACAGATTTCAGTTTGCTACCAATGATTGGCTAATGATGTGCATTGCAGCCCCGACTTACTGGCAGGAGAGCAAAGTGTCCCATTGTAAATACTGGATTTTGTTGACAACAGGGGATCTTTAGCATTGCCTACATGTTCTAAGGGTGACTTTCTGTCTCAGAAAACTGTTTACATGTTCAGTGCTTACCACAGTGACTGGTACGGAAAACCCCATAGTCTCTGAGTGGCCCCTAGATGCCAACCAGTAACTGTGTAGCATATTCCTCCCCTGGGTAGTTGCTGACCCTTTGGAGCAATGGGAGGTTGGACAATGGGAGTGTGAGGGGTTGTTAGCATGTGGCTTTCCAGTAGCAAAGAGATAAAGTCAGACAGAACCAGATGCAGGTGACACAAGCATTCTGACTCTGTTGCTGCATTAAGGGAAAGGGCCCAGCTGGCACTGACCCCAAGCTGTGCTCCCCCTGACTGAGGCTGTCCCCACTCTCCAGACACCAGTATGCTCACTCCCAGTCGCATAGAGCTGGCTTGCCAGGCCTGACCTTCCCTGTACTTCTCTGGGCCTCCCTGTCTAGAGACTCTGGGCTTCCATTCAGGCCATCAATCTCTAGACAGAATCAACTGACCCAAACCAACACTGTAGACTTCTGTATCAAATGTAAAGCATTTAAATCTGCTGGAGGATTCACAAACAAGCATAGTTTTGGTTTTGAAAACAGTATCACTAAAGGGCCTTTGAAATCTTAGGTCCTGGTTGCTGTAGAGCAGGTCTCTTCACCCTCCTGAGAGGCTGCAGCCAGCACCAGAGGAGGGAAGAAGCAACTGAAACCTCAGGGAAGATGTGGTTTTCCTACCACTCAAAGACCCATTGGTAGTTAGAAACACATTGCTCTGGATTTATGGGAACCATTTCATTAACAAAATCATAAACCTACTGGAATTCCATCCTAAAGTACTGACACTAAACATTACACTGGCATAAGGTAGTAGATGGTGCATACTTAAAAGGTTAAATGCCCCCAAACAGCAGTACAGACCCTGCACACATCATTGTGAAACACAAAGCCAACTCAGCTGCTATACAATGTACAAATATGGCTTTTACATTTCAAAAACCATAATGCCAGATCTCAGATGCTAAAACCCAAGTAGCTACATTTGCTTATCCTCAATAGTTTCTTATTTTGTATCTATTGAAAGCAAGACATTATTATATCAGAAATGAGAAACAAATAGGAATTCCTGTAAGTGACAAAATTAGTAAGAATTAAATGTCATTTCCAAAAATGAGATATTTTGAACACAACAGTGTAAGTTCAAGAAGCTGAGAAACATGAACTGGGTATTGACGGTTTCTGCTTCACATTCTACCTATGTGATTACTTTCAAACTTCTGGATGAAGCTGGTTGCCCCATGTCAAAATCAATGGTCAATATCCTTTAAAATGCTGCTCCTGTTGGCTATTAAACACCATAAAGCTGCCACATACTTTAACTTAATTATTTACTTGTCAACAAACTAGATAGCTACCATTCAAGCCCAGCTGCTGCTACAAAGGTTTAGACTCTGGCAATAACAAGATAACCAGTGCCAAGGAGTCTGAAATAATGATAAACAGCTTTTCAAGATTATGAGTTAGCCCATTGATAGCCTAACTTGGGGCTTCAAAGAGATTACTTTTGAAGGCTATTTAGTACAAATACAGAATTATGAGAGTCTGACTCACTCCTGCTATCCCCATTCAAATTAGATGATCACTTACCTTCAAAGTTTTTGTCTAGATCTTGAAGTCCTTCATTCAAATGCCGAGCACTTGTACCACGGAAAAGACCATAGGTGATGACAATGGTACCATTGGAAATAACATCTGTGAAGAAAATAGTGCTGGTGACCCATGCCTGTGTTCCCAGAATTGAGCAGATGACAACAACAGAGCCAAGGCTTGTGAGAAAGCCAGACAGGAACATCAACGTCTTCTGCGTGGTTGGCATTTTCTCAGGAAAAAAGCTGTCGGGGGTAAAACAATAACCACCTTAAAATATTTGGGGGCCTTATCATTTGGAGTCCAGTGTTTAGGAAGGAAGTCTAGTATTCCGTTGCGAATGGAAAACCTGTGTCTTCATGGGAAGTTTTATGCTCCTGAACATTGAACTGTGAATAGGCCATAAAGATGTGCAGACACTGAACTTTGGTCTAGAGAAAGCGGTTGCTATGGATGCAGCCAACCAGCATGAAGAAGGGCTGGACAGTCTTTACAGGACTTCCTCAATCACATGACTAATTTATAACCTTTATCATACCATGGAAGGCAGGTCAGCCTACTGTGTGAGGACATAATTTGACTTCTCAAATGATGAGAATAGAGACCTATACCCCAAAGGGATGAAAGCGAAAGGCCCCAGTGCCTTCAGGAATTACCTTCTATGGTGGATTTCTTTTATTGAGATTCCCAAAGCAAACTTCAAGCCTTTGTCAAGGTCCTGTGAAGAGGAAAGAGAAAGGTTCACCCTTCTAAGTTATACATCCTTATTCTTAGACCTTATTAGGGAGGCGTGCCCTTCAAATTCCCTCTTCCAAATGGCATCCTATTTACATCTTATTTAAATGATAGCATCAGAGGCTGTATCATTATCAATCTTTACTACTCTGCTTTCTTAGTTCTCTGTCTTCTTTACTTTTCTATTACTGTGAAGGGTACCATGACCAAGGCTACTTATGAAATAAAACATTTAACTTGGGGCTTGCTACAGTTTCAGAGGGTCAGCCCATGATCATCATGGTAGTGATTATAGCAGCCCACATGCATGACATTGGAGGAGCAGCTGAGAACTTATATCCTGAACTGCAGGCAGGAGGCAAAGAAAAAGAGAAAGACTCGGTCTGGCATGGGCTTTTGAAACCTCAAAGCCCACCTCCAGTGACACATCTCCTCCAACAAGGCCACATCTTCAACAACAACATCATACCTCCTAATCCTTGCTAAACAGTCCACCAACTGGGAACCAAACGTTAAAATGCATGAGACTATGGGGACTATTTTCATTCAAAACACCATTAAACTCTAACTTCTGTCCTTATGGCCTAGCAGTTAACTGTCTATCAGTAGTCATTTCCAGTCCTCCATGATACCTGCCCACTCATTTCTTGAGATTACAAACTGGTTCACATCCTATTCTCTAATTTCACTCTTATTGTGTTGTTTGATTACAGAGCATAGCATATGCACATCAGAACCCACGTTTTTCTTAAATAACCCGCTTACCTGTGGGATGAGGGTTTTCCTCTCATAAGGGTAAAAAAGGGACTGAAGATGCACAAATCACTAGACTCAGCCATTTCACCTCTGTGGGAAAGAGAAACATACGGATAATTATGGAACAATCAGGTAGGTATTGAAATGGAAAATGCAAGGTAGGCAATCAGCCTTAGCCAGGACAGGATAATGGATGCCACACCTATGTCACTACAGGGATGGATGGATGGATGGATGGATGGATGGATGGATGGATGGATCAAGTCACCATATTAGCCCCTCTTCCCCCACTACCTGGGAACCTTAAACTGCTGCTAAAGTTTAAGTACAAGTAAGAGGACCTTTATATCTGGCTGAAGAACTGAAATTGAGGTTATGGCTTCTGAGGCATTTGGAGTGTATTGAACAAGATTCCTGTTATGCACAAATGTGGCTCAGAAAGCCATTCTAATCCCCTTACAGCTTCAGTTGAAGACTCTGCTGCATATTAACAAGGTGAGACTCTCTCAGGCCAGTTGAGAAACATCATGTGATAGCTGTGAGCATCATGTGAGGTTCCAGAGGTTGGATGGTGCTGTCACTCTTCAAAGTTCCAGTCAACCAGGATATAAGCTCTTGGGGGGATGTCCTTCTGTATATATGTTTCTCTTATTGGTTGATCAATAAAACACTGATTGTCCATTATCCAGGCAGGAAGTATTGGCAGGACTATGAGACGAGGAGAATTCTGGGGATAGGATGCAGAGAGGTGTCTCAAGAGAGACACCATGTAGCTTCTGGGAAGATAGGAGTCCAGACATTTTCTGGTAAGATAAAAGCATGTAGAAATGCATGGTTATGGGTTAATAATTAAGAGAGAGCTAGCCAGTAAGAAGACTAAGCCATTGGCCAAATAGTTTATAATTAATATAAGCCTCTGGGTGTTAATTTGGGACTGAAGGGCAGCAGGAACAGGAGGGAGAGAAACTCCTTCTACAGGAATGCTTCAGTCATTCAGGCCAGGAAGCAGAATCGACTATTCCTTAAGCCTGAGCTGTCTTATCTCTGGAGGAATGATTTCTACAGACACATCCTAACAAAGCTAAAAGTCATCTAGAACACTCAGGAGCATTGCCTTCAGGCAACAAGAAATTACAAACAATACAGTAAAATAAAAACAAGGCAGGAAAATAACAAGGAATCCTTAATTCTCCCATCAATATAAACATACTCAAAGATAATGTAGATGTTTAAAGCAGGAGACAAGAATCAGAAATGCTATTTTTAAAATGTCAAAGGAATTAAAGAAAAAGATGATTTAATAGACAAATGTGTCAGTCATCTTCAGGTGTCAACTTGATATACCTGGGAAGAAGGAACCTCAATTCAGGAATTGCCTCCATTGGATTGACTAGTGAATACATCTGAGGGACATTTTCTAAATTGCTAATTGGTGCAGGAGAGTTCAGCCCACTGTGGGTGGTGCCATCCCTGGACAAGTGGGTCAGCACTGTGTAAGAAAAGTATCCGAGCAAGCCAGAGAAAGCAAGTCTGTAGACAGAGTTCCTCCATGGTTTCTGTCTCAGTCCCTGTCTTGAGTTTCTGCTTTCCTTCCCACAATTATGGACCATCACTTGTCAGATGAAGTAAGCCCTTTCCTCCCCCTTTGATCTCAGTGTTTATCACAGCCACAGAAAAGCAAACTAGAATGTGAGGAAACCTCTTCAGAGAAATAAAAAAATATTTTTAAACAATCAAATGAAAATCCTATGATCTAAAAGTATAACATCTGAAAAGAAAAGTTCACTGAATGGATTTAACAGAAGACAAATTACCATAGGAGAAAGACAGTGAGTGGACACACGTCACAATAAGGAGTAGATCTGGGGGAGAGGAGAGAGGGGAGATGGGGGGAGAGGAACTGAGAGGAGAGGAGGGGGGAAACTGTGGCAGGATGCAAAATATGAGAGAAGAATAAATAAAAAAATTAAAGAACTATTTAAACCCATTGGCTAGGTGACCCAAGAGACAGCATTAGGAAATACCACGTACCATATCTCCAGCGTTTGAGAAGTGGAAGGGGAAACAGTTTTGAAAAAGTAAAGGCTGACAAATCTGCAACTTTGATTAAAAAGTTTAAAAGACCTGTTTTTATTTCACATATATGTATGTTTTGCCCGTATGTACACTTGTGTATCACAGGAATGCTTGGTGCCTGTGGAGGCCAGAAGAGGGAGTCAGATCCCTTGGCAATAGAGTTCTGTATAATTGTGAGCTGCCATATGAACGCTGAGAACTGAACTGGGGTCCTCTGAAAGAGCACAACATGCTCTTAACCACTGAGCCATCTCTCCAGCTCAACTCTGATTTAAAGAAAAAAATAAATTTTACTTTCAATCAATAAGGTAGAAAGTCACAGTGAGACATTCTAAACCACATTTCTACAAGCGGTGATAAAGACAAAAATCAGAAAACAAAACTAGAGGGGAAATGCATGTTACCTAACCATGGATAGGCAGTAAAGGGCGAATCTCAAAAAGATTTTGCTGTGTGAAAGAAACTAGAAATAACATAGTGTTTAGAAAGAGCCATCTGCCTATATATAACATACTATCTAATCACATTTCTATAAAGAGCGAGAGCAGGCAATGCTATCCGTGGTAACAGACACCAGAATAATGGCTGTCCTTGTGGGATGCATCATTTTCTGAAAGGGGACAGGAGCAGGTGTTTTAGGGTACCAAAATGTCAGTGTGTGTGTGTGTTTGTGTGTGTGTGTGTGTGTGTGTGTGTGCGCGCGCGCGCGCACGCGCGCGCGCCCGTACACGTGAGCAGGTGTGTGGGAAGGGTTGATTCTCAGGAGTCATTCGACTTGTTTTATTGAGACGAAGTCTCTCATTAGTACCTGAGACTCACTGATTTGACTAGACTCGAAAGTCAGTGAACCCTAGGGATCCATTTGTTTCCATCACATCAGAAATGGGATTATAAATAGCTTGCACACTACCCCTGGCTTTTTACCGGGGTGGTGAATCAACTCAGGTCCTCATGCTTGTGGCACAGGAGCTTTCCCAGCTGATCTATATCCCTTTGCCAGAAATGTCAGCATCTTGGTAGGGGCAGGCTTGTTCTCTATGTACCTGTCTCTACTCACTGCACTGTGTCCTTAGGATCTGCATATTATATGCATATAGTTCATCAATAAAAAGAAACTCAGGAAAGATGAATTAAAATATTGTGAGGACCCAGACTAGTGTGTAACTTTCTGCTGGTTCGGGCTCATTTTTGTTGTTTTTTGTTTGTTTTGTTTTCTGGGCAAGTAGAGATGCTTCCTGCAGAGTCATCCTTTTGATTTCAATGGGCCAGGACTGTCAGTGTTTGGGCCTGTCTCATAAAAAGAGGGGTAGAGGAAATAATATTGAGATAATAGAAATTAAAACTTCTGATGTCTTCTAGAGGTCATAAGAGCTATGTCTGTATGTGGACATGTTCTGAATGAAACCACAAACAATGGATGTTCCCCTTTTTTCCCCCCTCATTATGCCCTGTGGCCAATCACTAAACTCCAATTTTTCTTCTAAAGTCAAGAAATTTTATGTTAATCTTACTGCATATGTTTAAAAGCAAATTCTATTTGATTTTTTTAAAACATCAATTTGGCCCCTTTTTTGCTTATCCTCCAAGGGAGTATTTCTGGCCACAACATTTGATTTCAAACGGAAGCCTTCAAGCTGGATAAGCACTCAAGACACTGTGGAG